AAAGTAATACCCAGTTAATAAGGAAAAGCATAAGGGGAGCATAATTAACAGATCAGGTTTTGCCCAAGTTTGTACTTGTGTTACAGTATGTAGTTTTGAAATACGCTTTCAAAAAACACTTCATTATACTGGTAAAAGAAGTATTCCCATGGTGAATTTAGCAGATTTATGTCCTTACAGATGAAAATACATATGTCTGTTTTCAGGACAGATGAGATCTTAGCAAGGTCAGAACACAGTGCTTGCTACAGCAGGACTTGGAGCTTATACTGTCAGCCATGGAACCATTCAACCAGTATTTGTGACTCAAGCTTCCAACATTTTTGTGTTGCACATTCGGACTGGGCTCTACATGGATGAGTATTTCTGATCAAGAATCTAACCCAGCCGTTTGTGTCCTCACTGCATGCTGAGTATATACAGTACTCTTCCATACCTGGACTGCTGCAAATACCCTGAAAGTTAGTGAGATGCTAGGCACAGCTTCAGACACCTGAAAAACTTGGTAGTTTCTCCACAACAGAGCTCCTGATTTTACAGGCTTCAGAAACTTAAGTTTCAGCAACTGCATTTGATATTGGGACAGAATAGGTGTGCATCTCCTAACTGTCTTCTATTTAAAACCTCATTTCATCCCTTTATGTACTTTACACTTAATAAAGAAATGTCAATAAAAATCATCTGCTTGCAGCTGTCAATTTATATAGTGAGCTCCATCTGTTACAGTACAGATAGTCTGTGCACCTAATGTTCTGGGTGTGCAATAAGCTTGCAGAATGCACCAAGATCAGCTAGATTATGTTAAAAAATCAGCTGGAAACTCATCCTCCAGAGCAATTATGGAAAGTGCCTTACTGGAGCATCACTATGGTAAAGCACTGTTCATAACATAAAACAACCTTAATTTTATGATGACACTATTGTTCCAGATACGCAGGGAAATTTTTAAGTGCTTTAACAACTACTTGTCAAACAGTAAACAGAGCTCTTATGAAAAATTAAGTCTTGGGCATTTTCAGTGCCACAAATGTCTCAAAAATGTCCTGGTTTTATTTTCATAGAGTGGATTGGGTTGGAAGGGACCTTAAAGAACACAGAGGCACACAAAAGCACAGAAGCAAAAGCAGGAGCAGACAGAGTAAGCCCCAGCAAAGTAAGACTGCATCAGTAAAACTGAGAGGAGAATTTGTCCCACCGGCTGGTGCTGGCACTCAAAGTGGTTCCTTTGATTCTGTCTTTAATCACACAGGAAATAAGCAAGTCCAGACTTTTTCTATTCTTGCAAACTACCAACCCTTGCTTAGGAAAGAACTGTTCATAAAAGCCTTCAGAAAACAAAAATATCTTTATCAATCTAGTGAAAAATCTGTAGCTGATCTTCAAGACAATTGACCGTGTAGGGCTATTTCACTCT